AGAAGTAATGAATAAACATCCACTGGCTGAACCCTCCCCATTCCCCCCTACCTATCAAAACTTGCGTTTTGCTGTGCTTACTTCTTGTATTTTTTAAAATTTATAAATCCACAATTTCAGCCCTTTGGGTGGTGAAAAGTTAAAGTTTGAAATATTGACGTACAATAACAACATGTTTATTTAAAAAATGGTAAAAAGAACATAAAGAAATCAAACATGAAAGCTAACAAATCAAACCTAAAAGCTTACAAATCAAATATAAAAAGCTAACACATCAAGTACAAAAAAAACATAGTAATAAAGAAAAACGTTTACTGAATTTTAAACTGTCGTTTCCTTTTAAATGTTGGTATAATTTCTTTTAATTTTATTCTTGAGTGAATAAAGCCGTCTCTTGATTCTGGACCAATTACTAAAGAAGATAATTCTGTGACTAATTTTACGCATCTCTCCACGGATTGAGTATGGCAAAGGAACTTCGGAAAATCAAAGTCTGGAATTTGGGTTTCCCTAAGTTTATCATCAGTAAAATCTCTTGAAACAGAAGGCGGTGTCACATCGCACTCATTCCAGTACATTAACTCAAAGAAGTATGTAGTACTGAAATTTTTGGTATCACGGTTTCTCGGCTGGTTTCTCTAGCTTTTAAGATTCTTCGTAGAGATAGTTCCCGAACCCATTCACGAGTGTCTGTTAGCTTACACGAAAGTATATTTACAAATTTGGAGGTTACAACTGTCAGTTGAAAAGGGTTCCATGTAGGGGTAACAATTTTACGTTTACACCTTGCTTTTTATAATATTTATAATCTAAAATTGACTTTTTTCGGGATTTTTTTGTCATGAATATCCACAATAATTGAGAAATTAAATTTGTTTTTTGGCTGTTTCATATTGTATAAGTGATTTAATTATCGAAATTGTTTTAATAATTACAATATAGCAGTTAAAATCAGTATTCGACATAATAAGGACCATGTTTTCATCTAAAATCCGTAGACCCACGCAAAAGGAATTATGTAGAACAAATAAAAATTGAAATTTTTGGCTGATTTTTATAAAATATCTATTTTAGTACATAAAACGGACAATTGTGAACTCATCTCACCGTGAATCACCCTATATATCAATATAGGGAGTAACAAAAGTATTTCAGTGGAGCTGGTGATCTTACCTTTTATAATAATTTAGCATATTATTAGAGCATATATTGTAAATGAGGAAATTTTATTTATTACATTTTTTGGAAATCGAAGCAGGAATTTTGAAAGTTGTTCATACACTTTTATTCTTTATCAAAGTTTCTGCATAGCTTTAAATTTAAAATGCACTTGCCAAAATGTAAATATCTCCTAGGAGAGGCTCAAAAAATATTAAAATTGTTTAAGACTAAAGTGCACTTTTGTGTATTTTCAACACACAAAAATGCCATTTAAAAAAGTTGATATGCAATGTGTTTCATGAGTTGAAACTAAATCAGGTATTACTTAAATAAAAATATTATCCGGTATTAAACTAACTCACTTTCGTGTACCACAAGCTATTTTAGATTAATGCAGTGTGGCTAAATTAAGGAGAATGTTATTATTTTAATAATTTTAGGGTAATCCTTTAATAATTTAGATGGTATGTGACACATCGTTTAAAATATAATTTAAAGAATAATAATAATATGTAAAAATCCAAAATGGTCGCCATAAGAAATAACAAAGTAATGTTGATAACTCAAAAATAAAAGACAATTTGGATTTTTTTTTTTTCTTAAAAAATATTTTCAATTAGAAAGTCACCATTAAAAAACAGTGATATACGAGGTATGTCACAAAATATTTTAGAGTTTTTTTGTAGATTCAAATTTTTAATCCGACTGCAGAAAAAAGTTTAAAAAGCATAAAACTTCATTTTTACGATATATAAATATTATCGCATATTTATAGTTTCAACTCAAGTAGACACATTTTATATACCAATTTTCGGTAAAAAAATATAATAAATAAAATTAATGGTGAATGTAGGCATACATCTAAATGCTAGAGCCCTAAATGGCAGAATTATTAAGTCATTTATTCGAATTGTGATAGAAAATTTGGTAACCACTATATATATTTTTTTTTTTCAAATATATTTTTATTCTGTGATCAGACTTTTGTGATGTTAATTTGACATTTATTTTTATCAGGAACCTCATGCGCCATTTTAAAAATTGCATCGTTTGCAGAGAACAAATTGTTTCGATGGATCAATTTTTCAAATGGAGATATACAGTGTGGACAAAAAAGTAATATTTCGATTTCTAAAATGTTCTTGGAGAAAAGTTTTATGAAATAAATCAAGTTATCAGTATAAGTCAATTATAAATATACCGGGTGTACAATTACTTCAAAAAAACAGATATTTTTTAAATGGTATACTCTGTATTCGAACTAATAAGGTTTTAGCGGTTGTATTTAATTGATTTAATAAAGTACGAAAAACTGAAAAATATATCATTATTTTGGTACACATAAAATTCGTTTAGTTCATAAAACCTTTTTTTTTATAAAACGTATCAGAAATTAAAATATTAGTAAGTTACTTTACTTTTTTACACACTGTATTATGTATACCAAACTGTACCAAATTTCGTTTTATTATTATTTTGTTGCAATTTTAACAAATTTTTATTATTAATACTTTATATTATTTAATATGGATTTTATTGTTATTTTTTATTTTTACATTCAATTATTCAATATTTATCAATACTCAAATTTTTAATTTATAGTATTGTGGTTATATGGATTATTCCAGTGTATTTATTCATGTACATATATACCTTGATAATACATTTTTTTACTACAAATGCTTGTTTTATTTCATAATTTTTAATGTCATAACTAAATCCTATTATAGTGTATTTCACCGATTATAGTGTGTAAGTCAGTAACAAACATAGTAAGTAAATATAAAGCATGACTAGTGGCGGCACCAAATGTACAAAAAAGTAAACCGAGAGCGTAGATAGTAGGTACTACATTAGGCTTTTAAAAATCTTATTGGTCGTCACACAAAGTTGTTTTCACGAGTAGGTAGTGTGACGTGTTGATTTGTCATAACACATCCCTGTCCACAGAATATTTGGCTGCCCCTTTTTACTTTCCTATCTGTATACAGATATAAGGAAAGTATAGGAATCATGATTTTTTTCGACCTCGAGTTTTCGACGGATTTTTATGTTTTAAGGTCCCCTGAATCCGTTTTGACTATTTTCGCGATGTTGTCTGTGTGTGTGTCGCATAACTCATGAACCGATACACAGAAAAACACCAAATTTTAAACTTAAGCTTTGTTCCAGCGTCCAATGAGCTGATTAGATGTTGGGCAGAGTCGGAACATCTGGGGGGGTACTTTATAGGTGATCATTTTTATATTTTATGGAATATATCTGTTATTTACGTTTAAATAAAAGTTACTTCTTATATTATCTATAATTTTTGTTCTATACAAAATTTTCCTAAAATGGTCCGTATTCAAGAAAATTGACAAAATGTAAAAAAATATTTTTTTATAAAAATTGTTCAAACAAAAGTTGTTTGTAATATAATTCTCTATAATTTTTATTCCATACATAATTTTTCTAAAATGGACCGTATTCGAGATATTTGAGAAAATGTGTAAATTTCGAAATTTGAAGAAAACTCAAAAACGGATAAAGAAAAAAACATTAAATTTTAAACTTAAGTTTTATTTCGGCCTGACGTGAAATGATTAGATTTTGGACAAAGTCTGAACATCTGGGGGGGTACTTTATGGTAGGCCGTTTTTATATTTTATGGAATATATCTGTTATTTATGTTTGGAGAAAAAAATTGTTCAAATAAAAGTTACTTCTAATAATATTATCTATAATTTTTGCTTTATGTAAAAATTTCCTGAAATGGTCTGTATTCGAGAAATTTGACAAAATGTGCAAAATTCTGATTTTTATGAAAATTGTTGAAATAAAAGTCGTTTGCGATATCGATCTCTATAATTTTTGTTTATACATGATTTTTCTAAAATGAATATCTATAGAAAAATGTTTCGAGGTAGATGTATGTGGAAAATGTATATATTTAGTTTATCCTCCTCTAAACATTTAAGAGTCTCTACAACTGCTTAGTTAGAAGCATTTTAGAATACTGCTCAGTGATTTGGGCACCTGACTACAATTATTGTCATATTGATAAATTAGAAAGAGTGCAAAATAAATTTTCGAAGTATCTACTATATAAACATAGGCTTCCATCGCAAAATAGTTTACCAAACCAAAATTATGTTGTGTGTAGAGAGTTTGAAATACAGACGTCAAGAAGTATCGCTTGTTTTCCTGTATAAGTTATTGAACGGTTTGATTGATACTGACAGCCTGGTACATTTTATTAGATTCCTTGTTCCTGCCAGACTTATTAGGCAGATTAAACTATTTTATGTAAATACTCGTAGAACTAACTATGGACAGAATTTATTTATAGACCAACTGATGTCCAATTACAATAAGTATTATTCAAATTATGACATTTTTAATACTGGTTTGTTTTCTTTAAAGCGTCAACTTTCATTACACTATTGACTTCATTTTATACAATGACAATTTTATTAATTTCTTTTTAATTGATATTTTAAATGTACCATTTAGAGCTTCATGTATCTGTAGTGTACTGTAAACAAATAAATAAATTATAATCAAGTCGAACGACATCCTTGTGTGGCAGGTAACGTGTTATTTGAAAGTATTTCCCGCCGGTTTCCTGAAGTTTTTTGAGTTATAGGAGGCCATGCACGTTCAGTCAACGCATTCTCATGTTTTTGAGATTTTTTCTCGCAAGTGAAAAGGGGGTTATAAATAATTTATCCAAGGCTTTGATAAAAAAAAAGAAAAAGTCACTTTTATTAAATAACTAGATTTAATTTTTCAAAAAGGCATGAGTTTAAATCCTTATTTAAAACATAAAAAACCTAATATCTATCACGACAACATAGTCCAGTATATATAAATATTCATATATTTTTTGTTTTCAAGAAAATGGGTCACATTAAATTTTTCCACCTTATATTCATTATTTTTAATAGACAGAGCGCAAACGGGTTTCATGAAGAGTTTGTCGTGTCGCCATTATCGTTTGCATAGTTGTTTGTGGTGCCGTTCACCGTGAAAGATGTTCCGAGTCCATATAGGTGGCCGGAAAATTTGGAATCATCGATCGTATCTTCAAAAAACATCTAAAAAATATTTAAATTTAATTACCAAAGTAATTCAAAAAGGTTTAGAAAGAGAGAGAGGAGTATTTTAATATTGACCCAAGGATAATCAAGCAGCAGAAATAAAATATTTAATGAGCAGCATTTGGAAAATTACGTTTAAATTAAAGATTTTTCCAATTTATACTGGAAACAGATTATTCAAAATTCACTTTATACAAAAAAAGGGTACTCAGAAAGTAGTAAAATATAGAAAAGTTAGTTAAAAATCTACAAAAAAATACGAAAATATTTTATTTAATAATCACCTCTTTCATTTTAAAAAATGCCATTCCTGTTAAAAGTGAATCAGATCCTGCCTGATGCTGTGGTCCAATCCTTTCTAATTCGAGTTGTTCAGCTACTTCTTGAAGACCACCTTTTAAATTTTTACATGATTTCATTAGATACTAAAAAAGCAACAAATATGATAAATTATGCCGGAATTATTAAAATCGACAATAAAAATCTTACTTTAACATCATATATTGTGGGAAAATATAATTTTAATAAATCGAAAAACTCAGTTTCATCTTGTGGAAGGTTGTTGTCAGTCAATAGTTTTATAAGATATCCAAAATCGTAGCCAGAATGAAAAGACAACCATTTTATATTTTCCATAAGAACAATACCAGAAGACATCAGCAATTCCGCAAATTCTAGAGGTTCTATACCCTCATCCTCATGCTTCTTGAATTGAATTCCTGAATTTTGCAGCAAGTCAATACTGTCTTGTGCATACATGTCTTCCCTAAAAAAAATACAAAAAATCTACTTCTAGAACATAATTATCCTATGAAAAAGAACTATATATGGTTCCATAATAAAACATATCAAAAATATATGACCCTACCAAATGTTTGCCTCTTAAAAATATTCACCAGGTAGTTAAAATTGAGAAAGAAGGTCAAGTAATTTAAACTTTAATACATTTTGTCCCTACTTTCATATGTAGCAAAGTTGTAAGATTGTTTCTTAGGATTTAATCTGTTCTGTTCTATCTCAGTTAAGGAAAAAGGATTCCTACATAAACTTTTCAGTGTTTGAGGCAAAATGGGCAAATACATTCTTTAAAAAAAATGTTTGTACTACTTAGATACAGTTAATTTTATTTTTTATAGGTATTAGTTTTTAAATCTTTATATATTTATTAATTATATAGGATATAAATGTAAGTGGGGAAAGGATGAAAAATTATCATATTAAAAAGAGCATGGGGTTGCAATTTGAAACATTAATGTAAGGGGTCGATTCTAAGGGATGTTTTGACAAGGGAACCTATAAGACACAACTTAATTGGATAGTTTTCATTATTCCTGTTTGTGCCTACTAGAGAATACTGAGAATACATTTTAATACTTTTTTATATTTATTATTTATAGATATTATTATTATTATTTGATGTAAATGTAAGTTTTTATTGAAATCAATGTTATTGTTGGTCTCTTATTAGGAATGTTTTTATGAAATACTAATTATATATCTACTGAATATTTTAAACCCCTTTTTACTTACTGGAGATTAAATTTAAAATTGAACTGCCATGTAGTATAAGCCCCACCAGGTGTCTTTCCGTTGTCATCCAAAAATGTAAGGCCTAGTTGAATTATCCTCAATAAGTCTACATTGCACCTTAGCATTTGGTATTGGTAATCAGCAGAACTTCTAAACTCTCCTATGGGCCTTGCCACAACGCCTGGGAATTCGGTGTCCATTGCAACATATTGATATTTCTGAACTATTTGCCTTATAGTTCGGAATTCGTCTTCTAAATTATGAGCCCATACGTCTCGAATGCCACAATCTTCATTATTAGGATGTGAAATGCTACCTAAAGTAGCTGCAGGCATGTTTCTAACTATTTCCGTGATTGTTTACGAAAAGCAGTTTCAGAAAACAAATAAACTCAGTTTATTATCATTAAATTACCGCTTTTCCCTAAAAAAATAATGACAAAAATACCACTCACAATAAATAAATAAATAACATTTGTAGATATTGGTTAGCTCAAAATATTAAATATATTATATGTAGACAATTATTTAAAAATACCAGACAGACAGCCTTACCTTCTTTGTCATTATATATAGAAAAGTCTGAATCAAAATCGTTTTTTTTTATGTGGAAAACATGAACATTTCTTATTCCTAATTTTGACAACTATATATCCACATCTGTCAGTTACGTTGGTAAAATGTCACTTGTCACTAATTGACAAGCTGCGTTCGCAATTCAACGAATTACAGCTGTTACGTTCCGAAAAATGGGGTCTATTCTGTATCAATTCCTTTATATTTTAACGGCCGTTAAAATATTGGCGGCCTTTAAAAATATTTTCGTATTCACTAACTTACTTCTGTCATTATTTAAACGGATTCCTATAAAATAGTCCGCAAATAACAATAATTTTTAACGGTATGTTAAAATTCGCCTTCAATTTTTACGGGTTTGAATTGAAAATTGAGGATTTATATGGTTATGTTTTCAAACTAGTTCAAATAAATCTTAAATGTAATGTCAAATGTTCTCCTGCCACTTAAGGGAATCCGTTAAAATACACAATTTTTAACAGAACTCTAAAATTTGTGTACACAGAATTTATTCAAACCTTCTCTTTTTATTTTTCTCAGGATGTATGAACCACGTACGGATCTGTAATATTCACAAGTGGTATAAACACCCATGTTACAAATATTTTTTAATAATAAGATATTGCAAAAATGACTACAAACAAATATTATGCAATTAAATTGGATTTACAAAGGGTACAATTTTAAATTGAATATGCGCTATGGAATGCAGATTGCAAGGGAGTTTTCAAAAGGTTTGCTATCACAATCATAAGCAGAAATAGGTCAATGATGAATTTAAACCTTATTTGTAATTGTAGTTAGGGTGACATATCACTTTAGTGTCACAAAATTACAGATTTGACATATGTTTTAAATAAAACTACAGATAGATATTTCTTGATTTTTGGAAAAAAAATTGCGGATTATAGTCAAAATTCAAAAATATGGCCTTTCCAAGTTGGAACTATTTTTTATTGCGGATGTTGAAAACTACCTATTACTTGATAAAAGCGTAGTAATTTAGATTCGCGCATGCTCTCTTGTGCGTTTGTCGAGAATTTGATTTTATTTATCGCAATTTTATTTGTGTTTTTATATTTTACATAGTGTTTTTTTGATTATTTATTAAAAACTATTTATGAGCATATTGCATTTTAAATCAATAAATATTTCTAAATTTTATGTTGTGTTTACTGCAACAATCAATAGATAAGGCAACTTAGGTTTGTTTGGTAGCGATATTAAGCTGAGAAGCAAGAACGTATATTCTTTGATCTGTGTCAGTTGGCCGGGAAGCAAATTATTTTAAAAATTATGTTTTCATTACAGGCGACATTCAATTAATTTTTACGTGGGTTCGGTTACATTTTTTTTTTAATTATTTTGATATATCCATAATGACAAAAATTCAATTTTTTTGTTAGTGATGTTTTCTTGTGCAAATATGGAAAAAATGTTTCATGACGAAAAATATTTTTTTTTTAAATTGTTTCTCTATAGGTAAACATACTGCATTTTTCCAAACAACAAAATATATAGTTTTAGATCACTTCAATTTTTCATTATATTTTTCTCGAAAAATGCTGTTTTTCTATTTTTTTTTTGCGAAAATTTACTATAGAAACTAGTTATTTTTGGGTGTTGACAAATTTTTGCAAAATTCTTACTTGAACTCGGCGAACAATTCACTCATGTTCCAAAAAATAAAAAAATTGAGGTTAAAAAAAAATGGTTATATTTTGAAAAAATCCGCACTTTTTTGTAAAGAATTAGTCTCTACTACATTCAAAATGGTTCTATTTTTTTTCTAAATGGCTTATTTTTTGTGACACTAAAGTGTTATGGACCCGTAGTTAGATACTTATACAAAAAAATTAGTAATAGAAAAGGTCCAAAGAACATCAATTGCTGCGTTTGAGAATCCACATCGGATGCATTTTTTACATCTCGAGCGTTTTTTTATCCACATCGGACACATCTGTCCCATTACATTTACGTATACTGCATCACGTGATCAAAGATTTTTTACATCTCAGATGCATCCGATGTGGATTCTCAAACGCAGCATATAAAACCGGCCTGTATACATCTCTGGAACGCGTTCAGATAATTTTACATCGGAGTAGACTAATTTTCTTAGTTAGATCGGTTAGATCATTTGCCTAGACCATTGCTGCGTTTGAGAATCCACATCGGATGCATCTGAGATGTAAAAAATCTTTGATCACGTGATGCAGTATACGTAAATGTAATGGGACAGATGTGTCCGATGTGGATAAAAAAACGCTCGAGATGTAAAAAATGCATCCGATGTGGATTCTCAAACGCAGCACATAGATATAGCCGAGCAAATTGATCACACTCTTTTCGGTCGGGGCGTGTTTTCTGAACGCGCTCTTAGGACCGTCAACGCGTCAACTCAAATGTCATAATATATGACAGATAGTTAGATTGTTTAATGTTTACATGTTGTTGACATTCAAAGCCGATTGGTAAATTAATATAACAACAATCATAAGTATAGGATATTTTATTTTGTGGAGGCATTAATATATTGGATTCGTAGAATAATTGCCAGTTGTCCAGCCAGATATTAGAAAGCTGAACCGAATATATTTGAAGCCTTTAAAATTCTAAAATGCAAACCATGAAGGTACAAGTACAACTTATGCAACCTAACACCGAATCGGTCTTAGTGACTGAACATTCTTTACCACACGGCATTATTTTCAAAAATACAAATCTACTAAACGATGTTAATTGTTGGCATAAGTTTATTGTAAGTATTTTAACATTACTTAATATTTATTTACTAGCTAATCTACAGAATTCAAAGACACTTTTTGTAGATATAAAAATTGATAATACTCCCTGATTTTGTCAAACATTTTAAATATAAATTCAGTTTAATACAACAAAAATACAAACTCCATTCCTTAGTTTTTTAAGTCCTATAGGTATATGAAATGTTTTTAATATTAAAGATTATTGCTTATTAATTGTAGTAGGTAAAGATTTTTTATGTGTTGTAAGTTACTTAGGTGAAGGTATTTATTTTTGTTTAAAGTTTAATTATTTTTTGTAGGTACACAATAGTGAAAATCATTCACGCAATGAGGTGTTACAAGCTATTTTAGACAAAGTACATCCTCTAGATTTAATACCCGTTTCTTATTGGAAAGATAAGAATGGGTCCTGTTTTCTTGCAAGAAATTGTGGCCCAGCCATACAAAAGCTTTGCAAAGATAATTTGGTTGTTCCAGCTCCTAAGAGTACAATTCCGGTATTTATGATTATTTTTATTTATAGTTATACAATACAATATCTTTATTTACCTGAGAAAATATTACATTTTTATGGCTCGTCAAATTACAATTAAAAGTATATATAATAAAATTTACCTAAATATAATAATATAAAAATATAAAATTGAAATTTACAAACATTTACAACATAGTTCACTGAATCACTCAGAAGCCACAGTGACAGCCTCTATCCTCCATCTGTATTGATTTAAATTCCTCTAAGCTATATAGGCAATTATTGGATAACATTTGTTTTAATGCATGTTTAAATTTATCTATAGGCTGATTTATAAAATTAAGTGGTAGTATATTGTATAGCTCAATATAATATTTCTTTGTCCTTTGCAGTCTATACTGGATAGGGACTAAGTTATCTTTGTGCCTTGTATTATAGTTATAGATATCTGAGTGGGAAAAAATGTGTTAATATTATTTCTTACAAATAGAAGGTTTTGATAGATTATTACTGCATAGAGTGTCATAATTTTAAGTTCTGGGAATACTGGTCAACAACTGGCTTGCTAAGAAGCATGTGTTATGGCTCTTATGGCTGATTTTTGCAAAATAAAGACTTTTGAGATATGTGTGTCAGCAGCATTGCCCCAACATATTGTCCTGTATGTCAAATGACTATGAAATAGAGCATAGTAAGCAGTAATTGCTGCATCTTGACCTCATATTTGGCGTATTTTCCTGATAACAAAAACTGCTCGTGATAATTTGGAACAAAGTGCTTCAATATGATCTGTCCATCTGAGATGTGGATCATTTTGAATGCCAAGTGTTTTAACAGAATTGTTATTAACTTGTTCACTATTTACTGTAAATAATTGGTCATTTAAAAACAGGTCGTTTACAGAAAACCACCTCTTTGCCTGAATCATGACATTAGAGTAAACCTGATCATGATCTGTTCCTCTTTTAGTATTAATACAAAAAGAAGTATCATCAGCAAATATACATGTGATAAGGTTTTCAAAATGCATATGGTCAGGAAAATCATTAATGTATATCAAAAAGAGTAATGGACCTAAAATTGAGCCCTGAGGGACACCTCTCCTGATATGCATCAATGAACTTTTGCAAATTTCGATGATGACTGACATCTGTCAGTTAAATTAGATTCAAAAAGCTGTAAACAAATCCCTCCTACTCCATACCTCTCCAGTTTTGATAATAGAATTGAATGATCCACACAGTCAAAAGCAGAGCTTAGATCTGTAAATACACCTAAACAGTTTTCAGCTTTTTCAAAACAATTTTCTATATATTGTACTAAAGATAATACTGCATCTATTGTAGATCGCCCCCTTCTAAAACCATACTGGAATGGCGTGAGTATGTCGGAAGAATTTAAATATGATATTAGATTATTATACATAATTTTTTCCAAGATTTTGGAGAATATGGAAAGTACAGGCATTTGTCTGAAGTTGCAATTTTCATGCTATCAGGAAATATTCCTTCAGTTAGACAAGCATTTATAATTATAGTTAAAGGTTTAAACAAAAAAGAAATACATTTTTTCATTATAAATACATTAAATCCATCAATATCCTCTGTTCTTTTATTTTTTCAATTTTTTACAATTGATTCTATATTGGTTTGGGTAACTGGCTGAAAAAACATTGAATTTTTTAATTGTGGTATATTTATAAAGGAAGTAGCATGTATATCTTGTTTCTCTAGATTCTGAATTATGTTTTCCGCATTATTAATAAAAAAATTATTAAAATCTTCAGGAGTTAAATTTTCTGGCTTTATATTTGTTTTATTTTGACCAATTTCTTTGTTAATAATATTCCACAAAGTCTTATTATCAGAATTTAATATATAATTATTATTGCAAAAATCATGTTTCGCTGCTCCCAAAATTTTTAAATATGTTAATTTATAATCTTTATATATTTGAATATTTTGAGTACTAGGATGCTGTTTTTGCCATTCATGCAAAAACAGCAAATTATTTTTTGCCTCGGTAATTGTGGAAGAAACCCAATAAGAGCCCTGCCTTTTATTCTGCATTTGAGGTTTGGATTTAAAACATATATTGTAATATGAACCGAAGATTGTAATAAAAGTATTATATTTATCTTTCGCCAAATATGCATCATAAACTTCTAGCCATTTTTCAGAATTTAAATAGTTCAGAAATAGTTCAATATTGTTGTGTGAATAATAATTTCTAATACAAGTTAAGTTGTTTTTTATTTCAGATGTTTCTTGAGTTTCTACTGTCTTCTATGATCTGAGACACCCATTTCAATTACAGATACAGTTATAATGTCAAAATTTATAAAAAAATTATCTAAACATTTATTGTATCTAGTATTTTGGTGAACTGCTTAATGCAGATTGTAGCATAAAAAAAAGATTTTTAATATTAGAGGCATTTTGGTCATTTGGATCTAAAAAATTTACATTGAAATCTCCTGTTATAAGTAATTTACTTTTAGAAGATTTCTTGAAGTTATAAGCCAGCTCAAGAACATTGCCCAATATGTCCATAAAATGGCTCAAATTATGGTAAATTGAGATTATTGTAATATTCTTTTGTTTTACATAGCAAGCTGCAAGTTCACACACTTTCTCCACTGAGGAGATTTATGCACATATATACATGAACCTCCATTTTTATACATGCTTCGACAAAAACTGCTAGCCATTCTATAATTCATTAAATTATAACAATCTTTTTCATGATTGTTTAACCAGTGCTCAGTGATGCAGATTATCTTAATAGATGTGATCAGTAACAGCATCTTTAACTCTAAAGATAAATAGCCAAACTTTCTTCTTTTATTATTTTTGGTAGTACCAAGAAAAACATTTTCGCCACTATCAAGTTCTGTTGATACTCCAACTTGTATTTTCCTTTTACGATGCGAAACTTTATGCCATTCTTGTTTATGTTTGTTACTCCCTTCCGCATATAATCTTTACATGTCTATTTTTTATTTTATCAGAATGTTTTTGACTTGTGACACCAATCGATGTCAGGCACACCTTGCCAAAAATATTTTGCTTAGTTTATTGTTATTAGACTAATGTTAAATAATTATTAGATAATTAACTATGTATATGATTGCAACTTAAACTTATTCACAAGGTTTTATGTACAGGGTGTTATTTAAATATTACATTTTGATGTGTTAGGAAAAATGAGTTTATCTAAAGCGTGACAATATATTTTCTTATATTAAAAATCCCCATTTACTTTTAAATGAAAAATAATTTCTAATATTGATTTTCAGTATAAAATATCAATAATCCTTAAATTTGCAACAACAGGAGAATTTAAAATAGATGTACAAAAAAACATATTGAAGGTTTTATCAAAAAGATATGACATGACTACAAGAACGTTGGATTTGTCCAATTTTTATGAAGACCCTGGTAAATAATTTTATAATTTTATTTTCAAATTTTAATCGTATTTTAAATAAAAACAAATAATTTAAATAAACCTTCATTTATTACTTTAATTAGGCACTTATGAACTAAGTTGTTCTATTCTCACTCATAAGCATCCAATAGAATAACAACTATATCTAAATATTATTAATTTCAATGTTTTTCAGATTTAACAGAATTCTGTGCTCTTTCCCAACCAAAAATTATGTTTTTTGTTTTGCACTTAACAAAATCATTAGTTCCTTTGCCAGAAAACTATATAATGTCCAATAATAAAATTAAATTACTGAACCCTTTAGAATCAATCAGTAAATTAACTTCTCCAGTTAAATCTTTGGACTTGAGGAATAATTTGGTAAGCCAATGAATGTTCTTATACATTTTTATTTTATTTTAAATCAATGAAGCCTTTTTTTATTAAAATTCTATTGTAGCTGGAAAGCTTTGTTCGCCTGAATGAACTGAAACTATTCAAATTGAAAGATTTATATTTAGACGGGAATCCCCTATGTGAAAAAGTTACAGAGGCTGAATATATACAAGGAGTAACGAGCTTAGTTAAAGATTTGGTGACATTGGTAATACCCATAAACAAGTCTTTTCAACATGTATTTATCTTTTTTAATTTTAGGATGGTATTCCAATCAGAATTGGATCTTTGCCCGTTTCCAAGAAAGTCTTTTTATGTAATGATGATGGTAAAGAGTTAGTCGATCAGTTTTTGGAGCACTATTTTTATATTTACGATTCGCAAAATCGCAAACTCATTCAAGAACTTTACCATAAAAACGCCATGTTGTCTGTAAATGCTATATACGTCAACTCACAGATAACATCTGCATCAACTAGGTATTTCAACATAATTATTTTATTAATATTAGTCAAATTATGGTTATAATTCTGTTAGATTACAGCAAAACAATTTCTAATAGATTGTAAGTGGTCTCATTTAGTAACTAAATTTTAGATTTTTTATTAGTGGAGAATTGAATCCCTCAAGGGTCAATTCTTGAACCCTTGTTCATTGTACAGGATGTTTGTTAATTGAGTGTGAATCCATGGGCGATTTTAAGAAGAAAACATAATGTTGTAAACCTCTTAATCATTGAGCAAGAGGGTGTTACAGTTTTAAGAAAAAAATAACTATTTTATCATAATTTTCTTATTACTCTAGATATTTTTATGAAATTTTGTACACACTTTCTAATCATTAAGGAACATTTTTTTGACGTTCTTTATTTTTACCAGTGAGGTCCGTGCGGGGTTTGAATTGAATATTTTTGAAAAAAAAAAAAGGTACGCCAACACGGTAAGCACATTAAGTGACCTCTTAAAGCAAATGAAATAAAAAATTAGTAAGCTGGGAAAGCGTCATAATCTTTGACGTTTCTTTTCACAAAAACAATAAAGTTGACATTAATTTTACATTATTAAATATTTATTATTAGAGTAATAATTTTGGTTTTTAGAAAAAGCAGTTGCGTACCATTTTTTCTTCAAAAATATTTTTTAAACTGATTATTAAAAGCAATTTAGCATCTTGATGGATAATTTTTTACTGATTTTCCTTTTGTCTTGTTTACAATTCTCCAACATTCTTTTGTTGAATTTTTTTGCATTAATAGCCCTTTTATTATTATAGGAAAGTTTTGCTGATTTTACTTTATTTTCATAAATTATTTTGAGTTTTTTTATATCTATCCCTAATAGTATCATTATTACTAGTTATGAATATACTATGTAATTCACACAGCATCTCATGCAGTGCACTTAGTTCCACGTTATAAAAATTATTTTTGTGTCGTTTAGGTTTTACTTTTTTAAATGTAAAAGCGTTATTGAAATGGTACAAAAGTCTAATAAAAACTGTTAAATTGTTATTGAACTCAGATGAGTTATACATGTCTTCCCATCACTGGGTAATAATTATATTTTTAAAGATTAAGCTTGTTACTGTCACTTAAATCCCTATCAAAAGATTGTGTAGTTTCTATCTGATTTGTTATTTGCAAGTGGAATTCACAGAGTTGTAGTGAATGATCTGATAGGAAACTATTTTGTACAATAACATTTTTATATTCAATATTTGTAAAAAGTGGATCAACTAAAGTTGAGCTAAAACTGTTGACCTGTGTTGGTTTTGTAACAGTGTTGTACAGGCCAAATAGTAAAAACGCAAAAGGTCTTGTAACCTATCAGTAAACAATTTGAAATCTGATTTGGGTGGTAACATGATAAAAATGTTCTTATTTTTAAAGATAAATTTACAAACATTTATTTCGATAATTTCTCAATAGTAAAATTGCAGTATACAGGTTCTATTAACATACTACTTTTTACATAAATAGAGACTCCACCCCTTTGGTATTGTGTCCTACAATACTTAGTTATCAAAGAATAATCACAATGCTCTAACATATCAATTTCATTAGCGTTTAGCCAATTTTCTGAAAAACAACATACAGTGAGCATCATAAGTCTTACCCCTCTAACTACTCGTTACTGGAGTCTTGTTAGGAAAATCGCCGAGACAGGTCGATTTTTGTTTTCTACAATGTACATTTTTGTATGATTAGTTTACCCTTAATTTCATCCCTTACTGGAGGGGAACAACCCTTTCGAAAAATTTAAATGGCATGGGGTGGTGAGTGATAGCTCATTTGAAAGGGGGTTTTATTCTCTATTCAACCGTGAAAAAAAAAATTAAATTTGCTTCATTACGTGTTGATTTATTAATGTTTAAAAATAACAAAACCTCACAAAATAGGACAGCAACTAAACTAATAGTGACCTTCTAATGGCAAAAAGTCTTACTTCACGTCTGAACCAAAACCGAAATCATGCAGGGCCGAATTTTAATTCTAAGGATGAGTGCGCTACGTTAATTTCCGTTATTCTGAAACAACAATTAGTCGAGAATGATTAATGAAGCAAATTTCAAATTTTTTTACACGGTTGAATAGAGAATAAAACCCTCTTTCAAATGAGCTATCACTCACCACCCCATGCCATTTAAATTTTTCGAAAGGGTTACTCCCCTCCAGTAAGGGATGAAATTAAGGGTAAACTATTCATATAAAAATGTACACTGTAGAAATCAAAAATCGACGTGTCTCGGCGATTTTCCTAACAAGACTCCAGTAACGAGTTAGATAGGGGGGGGTAAGACTTATGGTGCTCACGGTATATCTACTTTATTCTTTTTTAAAATTTGTTCTAGCTCACAAATTTTTTTCTGTATATCTTGTAGATTGAAATGCATTAGTATGAAGTTTTTGTTACCATGTTTTTTTGACGGATGTTCTTCATTAATTCTGATTTCTTCAGTCTTGGTGTTTTTGTTGTCATATTTTCCTGTTTGGATTATGTTGTGACTGGCTTTTGATTGGCATCCAGAAAATTTTCATCTAGTAGGTTTGCTTTTGCTGCCTGGTTGTTCTTATATCTGTTTTCTTCTTTTCTAAAGTCATAACTGTAGACTGCTACCCCACGTGGCCAGAAACTTCCAGTGTACACCTGCAGGGTTATTCTACTAAATTTATAGCCCGGCTACAAGTTTATAGCCCGGCTACAAGTTGGATTTTGAAGTAGGAATATATAAAGTTCAAGCCAAAATCCAACTTGTAGCCGGGCTATAAATTTAGTAGAATAACCCTGCTGGTCCATAAGATAGATTGCATGCTGATCTTAAAATAATTCCTTCATAAATAACAGATAATAGATTAAACCGTTTAGCAAATGTTATAAAATATTAGTAAATGATTTTTGTTAATTCTGTATACCTAAGTTCAATTTAAAAAAAAATGAATTGCAAATCGCAAACTAGCAATATATTACAACAAAATGTTCTATTTTTTTGGAAAAATACAATATTTATATAAAAAACAATTGTAATTTAATAATTATTATTTTAGTAAAAAAAATTATCCTCATTTTTAAAAATGGCTCCTCTTGATAGTTTTATTAAAATTTATCACTTTTATTTTTTTCCTAGAAGCATGCATAGAGACAATTTTTTTTTTGAAAACTAAACAAGATACAATACAACTGAAGAGACTAGAAAGTTGTTTCAATTGCTTTATGTAAAAGTATCTGTTCAAAAATGACAAGCATTTTTTCACAGATACGTCCGTTATTCTCTTTGATCCACCTTGTATAAATAATTCTCTTTGATCCACCCCTTATAAATAATGTATAGTTAACATAAAAACAACAATATATTTTATTTTATAATTAAATAACAGATTTTATAATTAAATTTCGTCCTTGTCAAGTCAACATTTCCTATATAGTTTGTGCAACAAGGGTGAATACAAAACTGATCATATCGACGTGTTTTTATTGTGTTTTCAGGCTTTATAGATATAACCAAATATCTCGCAATTTGCATAAGCTAGCTGATGTTTCGATGGTTTCAAAAAATTTGTTTAGAGGAAATCAAGATATTACAAACATTCTGACTAGTCTACCTGCTACCGAACATGATCCATATTCATTTCTGGTTGATCTCATTCATTATACTGTAAGTATTTTTTTTTGTAAACCTCCAATTGTTGAATATTCTTTAAGCAAGAACAGAAATCACATCATAGCGATGATGTTAAAATACTCAAATCAAATTTTTTTTATTGTTGAAGAATTAATTACATCCTTATTAACAAAGATAGATAACATAATAGTCTAAGAAAGCTAAAAACAAAAGTAAAAAAATAAAATTCAAAGAAAAGAAACAAACAAATATTTCATAAATGAAATTTTTTGTTTTTAAAATTTTTTTAAAATTCTAATGTCAAGTCATAAAATATAATATAAAGAACAAAAATGTATATGCACATTAAGTACAAATATGACAATTGACAAATATATAATATACACATAAATAAAAATGAGCTACTTAATTCAACCAATCACAGAAAAATTCATCCAATTTGTAGTAGGCCTTTTCGAGCAAAAGTTTCTTAACTTGCTTTTTAAATATTTTTAATGAGTCAGCACTTCTTATATTAATTGGCAGGTGGTTAAATATCTTCTTCCCGCTATACACAATAGAACTATATATCAAGCCGGAAGTGGATATAGGCAAGGGAAGGTAAAAGGTTCTTCCAGTTTGCTGGAGGTAATAATGTTACATTTATATTTTTTAAAAACTAAAAGTACCGTTTCTAAAATAAACAGACAAGTGAGTGTTAGTATATTGCGCTTAATAAATAATAGCTTACAAGAGACACTAGCATCAACTTTGCACATATTATTATGTCTTATGGCCCTCTTCTGCAAGTCAATGACTAGTAAACAACTCGGAAGAACATGTTCCCCTGGCATATCGCAGATGAGATTCTACCAATGAAAAGTATACCCTCCCTGCAACCGAAATATCTAAGTTGTATGCAACAGTTCTTACTGCAAAACATCCAGAGGACAGCTTCTTATACAAACTATTAACGTGGATTTCAAATTTTAATTTCTGGTCAGTGAATGGGCCTAAGAATTTATTTTCGGATTTTTTTTTGCAAATTTGTTGCTGTCCAACTGAATTTATAGCGATATCGCCACTGAATGAGACTATATTTGTTTTTAATATATTAAGAGATAAATAAGTTGAATTACACCATTGTTTGATCTTAATAATGTCTGTTAATAGCATTAGACAACTCTTCAATATTCTCACTCTCTCAGAGTATCTGCAAATATGGTGAAGTATCCATTAATATTGACATTAATAATATCATTAACATACATTAGGAATAAAGCCGGTCCCAGAACGGATCCTTGGGGAATCCCACAATGAATCAGAGAAAGCATTGATGTTTGTTTATTGAAAGAAACTTTTTGTACTCTAGTCTCCAAATAAGACTGGAACCACTTTAGAGCTATTCCTCGGAATTCATATTTTTCTAGTTTTCTCAGCAATATTCTGTGATTTACACAGTCAAAATTTGGATAAATCACAGAATACTGCAGCAGCTACCTTGTTATCATTTAAATTGAGGTATAATTTTTCTAGAATAGAAAACATAGTATCAGTGGTATTTTTACCCGATTTAAATCCAAACAGATGTAGATAGCACTCCGTGACTCAAGTCTGAATGTTTACAACCCTGCCATACATCGAGTAATTACAATTATTCTGAAATGGAAACTAATAAATTTGACCTTTGTATCCTTATAGTTTAGGTCGAAAATAAGATTGTAAAATATAACTATTTTTTTATTGAATTTTTGAATGCATGCATACCTAATATTTAACTGTTTCTATAAAGACGGTCTGTAGTGATTTACACATTCTACTTATCGTTCATTGTTCCATATTTGTCAAACACCGGTCACTCTAGCAAAACACAAAAGATTAAATTCATTTCCTCGTTGGATACTTCGGTTGCCAGGAATTTGTTTATATTTATCATGGTTTTTATTTTTTATACACTTGTCAGTTCTCTTCATAAAATATATTTTCATACATTTACAAACGTTTATGATGATATCCAACACTTAAATATCCCATATTTTAGTACCTCACATGCACTATATACTAACTCTAATCGACATACATACGTCATACGTATCAACCTTACTTTTTGTGACAGCATTCGTGGTAAACTCACTTGTCTACTGAATTAATTTTGTTTACATACAAGGATTGTTCGATAACTAAGCGGCCTAACAAAGAAAATGCAAGTTTTTTTTGGACATAATATATTTTATAACTAATTTATATGGACAGTTACTCACATACTAATTTATATAAACAATATTATTCTGCTCATATCGATATCTCAACTTCAACTGTCCGCTTTAACAAGAAAACGGCTTATTTATACACATTTATATATATTTTTTTTATCCAGGTACAGATTACAAAACGAAAAAGTATGCTATTGTCTTCAACTGAAGGAATATATTTCCTATCTATTCTAGGTAGTTAGAACACTGCAAAAAATGAAATCCATTAATCACAGTTCATATTTTAATCAACAGACTGCTATTATTTTAAAAATTTTAAATATGTGACAATTCTGTCAAACTAAATGTCACTATATTTTTTAGTTATTGACATTAAACATCAAACAATAAAATGAGTTATTATTGTGTAGAATCGATAAATAATAGCATTTCTATTTTTATTTTGACTATAATTATAAATAGTTTGTTAATTTAAATAAAATTACATGAAGTCAATTTAATTACGAGTATTAAAGCAAAAACATAAGCGTATAGATGTTCCTGGTCAGGGTTCCTACATTTCATACGGAAGACTCGAGTTCGAAACTCGGATGGGAAAAAATGAAATGAATTTATTTTTTTTTTCTTAGTTATTTTATAAATTAGTAAAAGTGATAAATTATTTTTAAATTAATTATTTTAACTTTTAATATTTGTAGATTTTCATTAATGGGTCGTAGAAAAAAATATACTGTACAACTCGAGTAGATTGTCCATATCCACTCTTGTTGCACAAACTACTATGTATAGATATGTTCCCGAAGATTTCTAGACTCGAGCATATCGGGATTAATAACGTTTCTGGTTGTTTTTTCGAAATTTTTCATAGCAGACTCGACAGCCATATCGACCAGGCGTTCTGGCGACAACAAAGTATAGAGAGCAGAACCGGACTGGTCGAAAATGGTTTGCACGACAATATTACAATTATTGAGAACAAAAAACTGAAGTTATTTAAAAGAAAAACAAATTTAATCAGTGTAATTTAGTGAAAGGGAAATATTAAAATAAAATTAGGTATAATTAATTATAAAAAAAAATACGCATACATAAATTAATCAAACAGAAACAAAGGAGGGGGTTCTCATGTATTTATTCAATTTTTAAAGTTAATATTGATATGCTATTTCTTAAATACGGTTCCATTTCTTATACCACATTATTTAAGGTTTATCCAAACCACTCGGAAACCGAACTAGTCCGACAGTAAAGTATAACACCGGGTTTGCCGAGAATTCTTTCTCTTTCCCCTGCTCTTTTGTAGTGCCGGCTTTCTGAATTCTTATTAAGTAAACCGTCATTGTGAACACCATCGTTTTTATTTTTGTTTGCACCGGCAGCCCGAATTTTAGGAAAATGTATAAGGGGTTTCTTTCATTATTAGTCTTTACCATTAGGATTTAATTCGTCCTCCGAGTTGACCGTTGCTTATTAAATATTAACAATATTTATAGTTTGAGAAAATTACCCTTTACTAGGCCGAATTTAATATCCTTTTAGGATTTCTGAACTTTCGTTACAGGCCAGTCCAGCAATATTGTAGTTTGATTACAAAGACGCAAATACTTAAAGCCGAAATAATAATTTCCAAACTTTGTAAGGAATACCGTTTTGTGAGTTCTGCAGTTACGTATGCGAAGAAAGTACAGAATTATTGTAGTCTTATTTCGCCGACTTCCTTTTTCAATATCCAAGGTTCCCCGAGTCAATAGACTCTTAGATTATTCGCGTTTCGTATTGCTCCACCGTGGTTGCCGTGTGAAATATATTATATTGTAAAAACTGTCTTTATCTATAGCTCCTTTTTATATAGTTTTTCCAGCAATACCTTTAGAATAAAAGGTACGACGTAATTACACCGTTTAGGTTGAGAAAGGTGGACATTACTGGTGTTATATAAATTTACTTATTCCACTGGGGCTTCTTTGAGTGCACTCTAGGTGTACTCGAGGGTCGCAGAGCAAACTGGGGTATCAAAACTGGCGCCCGAGTAACCCTTGTTCTAGATAACAGTCAGGTATCACTCACGACTTCAATTTCACCACAAGTGAAGCGAGAAGACGTGTCGCAAAACATTTCAATAATGTTTCAAATAAATTTTCACTTATATACGAAAACAGTCAAACTGACAAGTTAAAATATAGGGTTAAGAAACTTTGATTTTTACTCATTAGTTTTCAGAGCCGTTAAATTTAACTACGCCCATTATTAGATCATGATTAGGTTTAAATTACAGTGAAATTATTCAAAATTACCTTGATTACATAGGACTAAAAGTACCGGCCCTAAAAGATGATTGTACAGAATGGTAAAGAAGTTTCCTTCGAATTCGTGCTATCTTTGTGTTAGGCCACATAGTTACCGAACAATATTTATAGCGTCCAGTTCAACAGAGAAACAACGTAGAATTGTCTTGACATAAATGAAAACATCGATATTTCCTTTTAGGAACTCCCTAAATTATCCATATTTTCGTACAAAAAGAAATAAACTAACTATTTCTTTTTTAATCTAAGATATCAATATATTAAAATAGTAAACTAGGCATGGCCGAACGACCACGATCTAAGGCTATTTTTTGTGTGGTTTATGAGTAATAAGCTGTTTTTATTATAATAATTTTTTAGCCGCGTTGTGCAATTATTGGGGTATCCGGAGTATTCCGCGAGCGCGCAGAATCGCTTTTAGAAACTGAAAAAGTGTACGGATTTAGAAGACTTTTTACAATAGAAACTGTCAATCACAGCGGCTTGTGTTTCATAACGAACGAAGAATTCCACGTTTATAACGCGATGACTTGGCAAGTGATGAACAGTTTCCAAGTAGCTAAGCCTATTAATGCCGTGACTTTATCATCGACGATTCCACAAACTGAAAAGGATCAACAGAAAGTTATCGAAGCGCTTAAAGTTATCTCCACTTTGAACACAGAATGGTCGAAAAAGTGAGTAAATTACGCTTATAGTAAATCGAATTCCTAAAGTTATTAATGAAACGTTTCTTTATTTATACAGTTTATTTATTTAATGTATATTCACTAAGACATTTATTTTGTAACTTAATCTCAATACAACTTGACATTTAGACAATATTTTTATCTTAGTGCAAAACTATCTCAACCTAAACTGACTTCTCAACCAGTAAAACAGCTATTTATACACATACAGATAAGCGATTTCTAGAATTCTAGAAGATTATTTTTAAGATATCAAGTTTGAAAACGTAGAGTATCACTGTGTTGTCAAACTTGATAGCTTAAAAAATACCAATCATAACACTAAAATAATGAATCGGACATGAACTGAGACGGTAAAGTATGTGATAGTATTAGCTCAGTGGGGTTACTCTAATTCTACACACAAACTCAGATATTTGATTCTAAACGTAAAATATATTAAAGAAAATTTCTGGTATTCTAAATAAAAAAACAAATTTACCTACACTGTGGGGCCTGGAGCCATCGCGGATTGCTTCACAGAAAAATTATACGTAAAATGATAATAAAAAAAAACTTCACCAAGTTACCTAACCTGTGCGGCCGAACCATCTCGGGTTTTTTTGCAAAAAATATACATAAAGAAAAATAAAAAACCAATTTACTAATTTCGTAATTTAATGCTTTCGATCTTATACCATTTCGATCATTAGCGATTTCGAACATAATTATATGATTTCGATTATTTGTTCTAATTTCAATATTTTTGGTTTCGATCTTTTCTCACTTTCGTACATTCGAACTTTTTTGAAAATTCTAACATTTGTTTTTCGAACTTATTTCAACAACTCCTTGAACTTTGATCCTATATACATCCATTACCGTGTATTAAATTTAAATTGTCCAATTTTCCCATGTTATAAACATAGTAAATGGGTATAGTCGGCGCGTAATTCGGTCAGAATTAGTAGTCTACTTTATCTAAAATCAGTTTAGAAATATTTCGTGTTTTTAGGTGTTTGGAAGAGTGTAACTACGACTTAAAACGAGCGTTATCTCTGTTTGTAGATTTATATAAACAGAATCGAATTCCCGAGGAAGGATTTGAAGATGCTAAGAAAAAAGCGTAATGATTTATAACTTTAAGATGTGCGTGCTTATTTGGATGTTTTAATTAAGTAATGTTCGTTTGATTAATTAATAGAGTGTTTTATAATATAAATAAATTAAAGTTTTTAATTCATTAAGATTGTTTTTTTTAATACACTGTTCCTATTACTACTGTTTCTTATCCTACTTATTTCTTATTCTTTAAATGTGCAATAGACAATTTTAGTAGGTTTTTTATTGATATTTGAGTAATAAGGTGTAGATCTACCGCTTATACTAATCTTATTAAATTTCGCTAGTTAGGTGTTATACCACAAGTTTAACCACGTGTAATCAACAAGGAGTGTATGGATCGCCCCAATTATTTCGAAAACGGCTTGTATGATATTTATGAAAATTAGTTTATAATATGGCCGATCTTCAAGTTGAGGTCAGATCCCCGTTTATTTGAAAAATATAGCGAATTTTGTTATTTAAAAATATTATATATGAAGTATTACATGAAAAATTATCAGAATTTCTTAAACAATCTAAAAATAATAAAACAGAAAAATCTATTTTAAATAACAAAGTTCCTTATATTTTCAAAAATAAAAAACGCAAGATCTGACAACTTAAGTGCTACTTAAAGATCAACCGTATTACACAACTCCCAAAAATCAAATTTCATAAATATCGTAAAAGCAGTTTTCGAAATATAGTACAATATATATTAATTGAGGAGCAGACTTGCAATTTGTCAATTTTTACAATTTATCAGGAGAACCAAAACTTTATTACGAAAAAATTAATTGTGAGAAAAAATAGTGCTTGGCATAATATAATGTTATCAGGTGTAAGGATTTCTATCACGAATTTTGGTACAAGGCCTTCTAATAAGTTTGACAGAATTGTCACTTATTTAAAATTTTAAAAATAATAGCAGTATTAATCAATACTTTTGGGTGACCAAAATATGAACTATGCGATTGGTAGATTTCATTTTTTTTGCAGTGTTCTCACTACCTAGAATGGATATAAAATATATTCGTTCAGTTGAACGCTATAGCATACTATTTCGTTTTGCAATCTGTGGGTGGAAAAAATTTTTTAAAATACTTTTTAAAGTAATAACTTATTTCCTTCTGCAGTAAAATTATTTTATTATCCTAAGAGTCTATTATATTACTAATCTGGGTAATTACATGTACTTTAAAAATAATTACAATTACAAAGTACTTTTTCAAAAAAGGAATTACAAGTACAATGTACATGTTGTAAAATTAGAAATTATTTTGATTTAATTACAATTACATGAAAAAATGAATTAGCAATTACTTTTCTAATTACTTTGCCGATAAAACAACAAATTATGGTAGAATTGAGGAACCATGAATCAACCGGACCGGTACAAATAAAATTTTTAAATAGGTAATTCAAAGTGTCAGAGTAATAGCTGTTTGCAACGACTTTCTTAAGGATTCCTTAAAGTTAAAGATATCTTAAGTTCGTGTACCTACGCATAGGTACTTTTATATTTTACCTAATCATGCCATACAAATCTGACATCATTAGTTAGGGGCCGTTTAATCAAAAAGATAAAATAGTTAACACTAAACATTTTATTTATATTCATTCGATGCGATAATCAACTCTCATCAAAAATTATGTGATACCTTTTTACTTTCCTATCTGTATACAGATATAAGGAAAGTATAGGAATCATGATTTTTTTCGACCTCGAGATTTCGACGGATTTTTACGTTTTGAGGTCCCTGAATCCGTTTTGACTATTTTCGGATGATGTCTGTGTGTCGCATAACTCATGAACCGATACACAGAAAAACACCAAATTTCAAACTTAAGCTTTGTTCCAGCGTCCAATGTGCTGATTAGATTTTGGTCAGTGTCGGAACATCTGGGGGGGTACTTTATAGGTGGTCATTTTTATATTTTATGGAATATATCTGTTATTTACGTTTGGGGAAGAAAATTCTTTAAATAAAAGTTACTTCTTATATTATTATCTATAATTTTTGTTCTATACAAAATTTTCCTAAAATGGTCCGTATTCGAGAAATTTGACAAAATGTAAAAAAATATTTTTTTATAAAAATTGTTCAAACAAAAGTTGTTTGTAATATAATTGTCTATAATTTTTATCCTATACATAATTTCTTAATTTCTCTAAAATGGACCGTATTCGAGATATTTGAGAAAATGTGTAAATTTCGAAATTTGAAGAAAACTCAAAAACGGATAAAGAAAAAACATTAAATTTTAAACTTAAGTTTTATTTCGGCCTGACGGGAAATTATTAGATTTTGGACAAAGTCGGAACATCTGGGGGGGTACTTTATGGGGGGCCGTTTTTATATTTTATGGAATATATCTGTTATTTATGTTTGGAGAAAAAAATTGTTCAAATAAAAGTTATTTCTAATATTATTATCTATAATTTTTGCTTTATGTCAAAATTTCCTGAAATGGTCCGTATTCGAGAAATTTGACAAAATGTGAAAATGTGCAAAATTCCGATTTTTATGAAAATTGTTGAAATAAAAGTTGTTTGCGATATCGACCTCTATAATTATTTTTGTTTATACATGATTTTTCTAAAATGGACCGTAATGGAAAAATTGTAGGAAAAGTGCTAAATTTAAATTTTTCAGTATTTTCATTTTCAATGAATATCTATAGAAAAATGTTTCGAGGTAGATGTATGTGGAAAATGTATATATTTATTTTATCCTCTAAACATTTATGGATGTGCTGCAATAGGTTGTACAAAATAACGGAAAAAGCCTATAATAACTAGATAGGAAAGTCATGTGTTGGACACATCAGATTTTTATTTTTGTCTAAGCTTGGAATATCACACCCTTGAAAAAAAACTTTAACAAAAGTAAACTACAGAATGTAAGAAAAATATTTGGTGTAAAATTATTAATATTTTTTACTTTTCATCAAGCAGACAGAAAGTAGAAAACGAGAATAATATTTAGAAATACCTACGCAACGTAAATAAGTAGTTTTTAGTATTTACCTCATAAAAACTGCTATTTCCACCACTTCATACTATATTTCCTTAGTTTATAATGTTTATGCAACAGAAATTATGTTTAGAATAATGTAAATACAAAATACGTCTTAAAAATAAGAATATCTGCAGCTACTTACCACTTACTGTTATTATTTTGGGTTGAACAATTTCACTGTTTCACGGCACAACGCTTTCCTCAAATGCATTCAAACAAATGATGTGGATGCGAGTCCGAGTCCTAGTGACCGGTTCGAATAGGACATTTCTTTTTTTTATATCACGTGCATCTCATAAACACGCATTTAAAAGTAATTGTAATTAAAAAAATGTAATTGTGCTTATGAATGTAATTGTTACTGGAAAAAAGTAATTGTGATTGGAAAATTAATTGTTCTTATGACAAGTTGTATTTAGTCAATTTAAATAATAAATTAATATAATTACAACGTACAATTCCCCCACAGATTTTGCTGCAATTACAATTCCAAATTACTTTGAGAGAGAAAAAAAAAATATTAGATACAATTACAAATTACATGAAAACAAGTAATTGTAATTATTATTAATTACTTTTTAACTAGAAATTACCCAGCTCTGCTACACTAATAAAAATATTTTAAAACACATTTTAAAGTGATAACTACTTATTTTATTATTTATAGGGGAGTAGCTTACCCTTGTGAGAAAGTTTTCAGTACTTTATATTTTTGCTTTGCATTAAAAATATTGTAAGATACAATTTGATTTGATTTATTACCTTCTCGGGTAAAATAATTTCACTTTTGAAAGTGTGGTTTTGCCATTTTAAATATAGTTAATATTGATGTGATATTTGAAAGAAACATCTTGTTATCAAATTTCGGTCGGTATTTAATTGTTTTTATCTTAATAATTAACCGACTCTTTATTTGGTAATATTGGTAATTTCGCAGCTGGAAAATTAGCTGCTAGGTTCCTAACTGTGGAAAAATAGTCCTTCTGGCTGAAATAACTAAGAGTCCTTATTTAGGTTACTATTTTCAAAAAATATAAATTCCCACTAGCACGTCTATGTTTTAAAACCCATGCCCCAGTAGTAGTTGTTCATCTATTGAAAATCGAACGCGCACGATCACTACCGACCCGGTTTTGTGTGGGACGTTCAAAACATGGAAGTAGGAAATTCAAAACAACACAGTTCATTCAAGCGACCGGAGTGAAAAGTGTTTTGTTCTATTTTTACCGTTTATTTCGCGACATTATTCTTGAAGTATCGATTCTTTTATTGGGAATGTTCTAATTATTAATGGATCGTACTTGACCCTGTTATTTCGAAATTCATCAACATGTGTTATTTGGATTTGGATACAACCAGCTTCTTAGAAATTCGTTCTAGTTAGGTGAGTCGTCTACCTGCATGTTATTTACATTTCAAATTTTTACTAATAAAGTAGTTTGTATTGTGTAATTTTTATTGGATTTTAAGGTAAATTATAGTTTTATTTTTGCGTTTTTAGTTTACATTACTAGAATTATTTGCATACATTTTAAATCGCTATTTTATATGGCGCGCTTACTTAACTACCGCAAACGCGCTCTTTAAATAAAATAACATTGCAATAAATTTCCTTCTTCGATATAACGTGTTTTGTTAATTATTTAAATAATTGAGAAATCTTTTACTTTCTTATTTTAAGAAGAGAAAATAGACATTTAAATTAAATTCCAATGATTTTTAATTTCTAAATGAGGGTAATTTTAAAATTTTTGGATTTTTAAGTAAAAATATAAGTATGTTTTTTCGTTTTTTGTTTATACATTACTAGAATTATTGGTAAATGTTTAGAAAGAAATTATTGCAATGATATTTTATTTCAAATTTAAAGAGCACATTTCCCATATCTTATACAAATGAATAACAAAATGAAGATACCTACATAATGTTTGGCATTTCACAGTTTAACAAACCCCCTTAACCCCCATTTTCAATCAGATTTTTTTCAGAATCGATAGGTTTCATCCCCTAATAAAGCTTCGATTTTCTCTGAAGATTTCAATTTGATATCGTTTTTTGTTAGATTTTGTTTTTTTTTCAATATTTCATTCCCTCTTATTTCCCCTTTTTTATTTATTTATTTATTTAGTCATTTTCTTATAGACCTTGATTTTACTAAACATTACATGTTGATATCCTTTTTGCTTTTTGATTTCTATTTTTTTTTAATTTCATTCCCCCTTGATTCCCATTTTATTCAGATTTTTTTTAAATCATTAGGCTTTGTCCTGTTTTGTCCCCTTATAGAGCTTGATTTTTCTAAATATTTTAGGTTGATATTATTTTTCGTTTTCGACTTATTGTTCGGATAAAAAACGTTATCGAACGGACAGACAAAGTAAACCTATCAGAATGTTGTGTGAAGAGGATAATAAGTAAACAATTTTTTTTAAATAAAAATGTACCTTTTTTTCAATAGAGGACTTCTATACAAGGACAAAACAACCAACCTAACAAAATGGACATTAATGATATCAGAAATCGGGTAACATAAAGAGATTGTTGTTCTTTTATATTTTTATGCTGTTTACATACCATGTTGTACCTGTAACCTAAAAAAAAAGCATTTTAGTTTACGGTTTTTACCTTTAAAAGTTGAAAAAAATTGTCAATAAGAGCCGTACACAATGTATTGTCATATGCGTAGCATTGCGGTTTTATTTTATTTTTATTAGTCTGTATTATTTTACTTCCGCTTTGTTTAAACATTTCTTTTGATTATGTTATATCTATTTATGTTAAATACAAAATGCAGTTGCTAAAAGTACAAGTTTTATACAATATAATAGCACATACAACACTAGTTACATTATGCCCATCGAATGTTTTGAAATTTTTGTCAAATGTGTATTCTTTCTATGACACCGTAATTAGATCTATTATTTTCCAATTTTAATTGGTTGTACATATTTCGAATAATTTTTTATGCCATGCCAAATTTTTGGTTAATATCATCTCCCTCGTCTTCTTCCTCCCCTACTCTCAGAAGAAACTTTGATAGGTTCTGCATAGAATAATGTAGGGTCACTTGGGGTAAGAGCGCGTTGTTTGGGGTAAATGTATTAATAAAAATCTAAATAACAATATTCTAAATAATAACACGAAAATATTTATCCTATGTTTACGGGATCAACAAAAATTTAAAAAATATATTGCTAAAATTTATTAGAAATGCCAATTGTTTGGTTCATTTAATTGTACCATAAACGTTGAAATGGTAATCTTAATAAAGTCTCATCTATTTACTAGTTATTAATTAATATAAATTTATTCAGCTTGTCACTTTTTTAATAAATTATTCTCGTACAGATTTTATAGTTTTTACATTTTCTCAGTATATATTAATATTTGACCCCCAGTTCTAAGCCAAATCTTAACATTTTCCACTATAGAATTTGCAGGTAAAATATAACCTTTTCTTTGTGAATCACCCTGTATAGGTAAAAAATAATTTAAACTGCCAAAGCCCACTTTGAACTGTTTAAATTTTACAATTTGTGTAAGTATTTAAATATCAATTTAGTTTTTTTGAGGTGTAACTGATCCTATTTATTTAAAAAATAGTCAATCAAAATTACAATTATTTACATGCCTTCAGGGATTACATTATTTTCATCACTTTCAAAGGGCCTCCAAAAAGCCATTTTTTTATATATCAAAAAACCAAACAGTAATGTCAATACAACACTGGATAAACAAATATTGTCCATCTGTGCTCAGTCAATATGACGATAACACATAGAAGCGTGCCAAATAACCAATTAGAACATGAGTTGAACAAAATCGCGGAATTACTATTGGATATCCCCAGTCCACGTTGACCGATTTTTCTTACACGTTATCGTGGGCTACAGTAAATAGAAATTTGAGAAAGGCTCGATTCGACCAATATGAGACGCTAAAATTAAGGTGTTATAATTAATCGATCCGACAGATTCTCATCGGACAGCGATGCCAGGCATAAAATATTTATTTGATACTCGCTTCCAGCATATTTGCTCGAAGGGTACTATGTGCTTAACGTACACGGTCGTTTAGCTGTAATAGAATCACTTTATTTTTGCAGTTTGACAACTGTGTTTTCTATCTGTGTCGTCTACTATACATACCATGTTGTACCGGTAACCTAAAAAAACATTTTAGTTTACGGTTTTTACCTTTAAAAGTTGAAAAAATTGTCGATAAGAGCCGTAACAATGTTTTGTCATATGCGTAGCATTGCGTTTTTTATTTTATTTTTATTAGTTTATTAATCTGTATTATTTTACTTTCACTTTGTTTAAACAATTCTTTTGAGAGCCATGGTGGGGCCACGGGCAAAACACTGGCAAGGGCCCCTTATATTATATAACTGGGGTTGGCAGATTTACGGAATAGTGAGTTTTTTTTATAAAAAATGAAGTCCTTTGAAATTTCTAAAAAAAAGTCCTCAGCTAAAGGTGCCGGGCCTCGGGGATTTTGCCCCCCTGTTCCCCCTTTCGTATGATATACCTTTAACATTATTGACAGCTGACATTGACACAGTTTTTCAACCTTAAAATGTAAAAAACCCTAAACTAAAGTCTTTTTTACGTTTCGGGTACATGTAAACTGCATAAAAGTAGATAAGAAAAACCAAAAAGTAAATGAAAAATAAGCTTTTTTATGTGACCCGATTTCTTATATCATTAGTGTTCTGGTTGGGTAAAACAAAGTCAATAGTTATAATATTATAAAATATTGTTAGGGTAAGCATAATTATTAGAAATGAATAGCTGTATTTTTGATAATAAATAATTAGATGATAAACTTTTTATGCGACTTGGCAAAAGTGTAAGACGTATAAGTAGCATATTTGAACTTTGGTTTGAGACAATTTATGAAATATTTGTATGTTTCAGTGTATTTCAACTCAACTTTTACAATAACTATGCACCGACTTATATAGCTTGCTTTCACCTTCTCGAACTGTCAAGATTTTTCTTAACGTGGAATGACATTTCCCGAATATTCCCCTTCTTCTTTTACTCGTACCTTAACTGCAGAACGCTGCATGGTGCTGCGTAACATGATTAATGTCCACAAGATATATAAATAAGATTTTTTTGTTTGCAATATTGATATCTACAAGAAGTACGTGTGCTTAGTTATTTCATAAGTGAAAAGAGCTTATACTAGACAATGACAAAAATAATACTTAAGACCTTTTGTTTTCAATATCAAATTTTGATACGAGTTCCATTCTGAAGTTCGTTTTACCATCCTGTTGCTTATTCGCGTAAGATCCACATTCATTTAAACTTAAAACAATATTTTTTTCTTATTACTTTCAGTTACAATAAATATCCGCTCAAATAATAGCTATTTATGAAACCAGTTTTGAAATGCCTTATTTGGCATTTCGGAATGTGTTACATACAATATTTTTTCTAATTTTGACTAAATTACTTATAAAATTGTGTTTTGGTAAAAAAATTACTGACATCTAGGCAACCAATATAATTTCATTCTTTTATTGTCAAACGTTATATTAATTTATTCTCAACGACTTGTTGTAATGTACTTAATATATTGTTTGCTAAAGTTATTTTTATTTCAAGAAAGTGGGTTGTTTTGTCGTGTATTGTGTTTTTATTATTTTGTGCTAATTTAGAATGGAAAATAAGGATCAAAACAACGTTATTACTAGGTTGTAAATTTGACCAAATTCTATTTTTATAAGTCGCTGCTCTTCTTTGATATAAACTTTGAATAATAATATATATGATTGAATTTAAAACAAAAAAAGATTTAGTTTTATATGTTTTCTTTTCGTAACTGTATAGTGACATGATGTATTTTTCGAAACCAGATCATTTTGACACTTTCTGTCACTTTTTATAACGAAAATTGAAAAATATAAAAAAAAATTGTTTCAAGCATGTATATCTAGTGAAATTTATATCCTTGTTGTAGTGCAAAATACGATCCATAAGAAATGCTATTTAAAGCTCTAAAGTTAAATCGAAAATTCTGAAAATCAATGAGGTTCTCAGCTAGAAGAAATTATCTAATAAAATCAAAACTCATTAATTTATACCATGACTACAAGAAAATACGATTACAAAAATGATTATGAAAGTTTCTACGCCTATGGTGGCACATTTAAAATTTAGAACTCTTCTTGCATAATTATGTATAGGTATACGACGAATTTAATAAAGGAGTACACTACCTACCTAGGTACAAAGGCTAAGACAAAAAATGGTCATCTTTTCAAAAGATGGTAGGTAGGTAGGTAGGTAGGTACGAATGAATAGTGAATAGACTAGGTATATATTATATTTAACCCAAGATCAAGCGTTTTGTATGAAGTAATTTGAAAAA